CAAAGTCAGAGAGGCTTGGAGCTAGCTGTTGAAGATCGTTTAGGCTCTGGTCTGAGAAACAGATGCAAAAACGGAGGAAGAAGAAGAACAAGGCTCACATAGCGGACCCGTCGGTTACACAGTAAAAAGTGTTATCATTAACTGTGGGTTTTTCTGCAAATGCTGTGTCCAGTCGTAGCTCGGTCAATTTTTGCCCGACTTAGAATTTTGAAATTGTAATCGTCATATCTCATCGTATGTTATATCCTTTCTAAGTCTCATTAAAATCTGATAAATCCCAGACTTTTTTACGTCTCATCCTGCCACCGAGGTGCCACTGGTTGAGGAAGACTATTTCTTTGTTTGTAGTTATGCACAAAGCTACACAATGTGCTATCTGTACTTTGCCCACCACAGGTATCGTAGACATACCGCTGTGTCACTGGGAGGCGGTTGAGGAAGAGCTCTGGTGTTAAAAAGTGAAATGTAACAAAAGCCGCTGAAATGTGGTAAAACAGTTTTTTGACTGAATTTGACTAATACTTGTTCAGTGTTTTTAAATTAAACAGATTAAGACACATTCATAATTCTGTGTTTGGAGTATAGTTTCAGAATTCAGTTGGAAAAAATTCTGATAAAATTTTTAATGTGTAAATTTGTTATATGTTTAAAAAATAAAAACGAACCCTAATTTTTAAGATAATTTAAATAAGCTGTTTTTCAGTCTGTTTATTTTCTGGTATGTCGCAATAGAGACTCGACGTTAGATAATATGTTAGATATAATAAGACAATAGAGAGACGACGTTAATATGTATTTTACGATATGACCAATAGAGGCTCAATGTTAAATAAGGTGTGTTTTGTGGTATGAAACAACAGAAGCTTAATGTTAAATGTCTCCGGTGGGAGAACGGTAAGTCTACGAATTTACAACGCTAAAATCCGTTGTTTGATTCCCCATTGTGGACACGGCAGATAACCCAATGTGGCTTTGCTTTAAAACAAACAAGCAAAAACTTAATATTAAATACTGTGTTTATTACGGTCTGTTACAGTTTATTACTTGGCATCAAGTATTGTGTGTTTTACGGTATGACGCAATAGGGACTGGACGTTAAATAGTGTGTATTTTATACTATGACGAAATAGCAACTCAGCGTTAAAGAATGTGTATTTTTATGTATGTCGTAATACAAAATCGAAGTTGAATAAGGTGTATGTTTTGTAGTATGCCACAATAGAGATTCACCTAAGATGCTATATAACAGTTCACTACAGTTGTAAAGTCACGTTGAGTTTATGATAATTATAATAATGTTTTATTAAGTAATTCTTGTTTTAATAATAATAAGAATGCTTTGTTAAGTTATTCTTGTTTTATAACTGTCATTTTGGTATACAGGTATGCTTTTTAAGAAATAATTTGATTTTTACCTTATGATTTATCTGAATGAGCTAAGTTCTTTAACCACACGCTCATTTACTTTATCTTTAACTGGGGTAATAAAGAATGTGACACATGAGTAAGAGACACAATGCGTATATGAGTGTAAAAGGGAAGCTTGTTCCTACACAGATCGGTTAGCTCAAACGATATAGAATAATTGTATCTTCTATTGCTCCAACTTAGATCATGTACGTTACCATCCAAGGGAACTGAAGTGTGTGGACGATAGGCCTGATGCGAGCTGGCATTTGGCCACTCTTTGAACGGACGGTTGGGTTTCATCCGCGGGTAGGTCACCGGCCCGATAACTAACGTGTCAGACCTTTGTCACTGCCAGCCAATCGAAACAAAAGTGTTCACTGAGGCGAACACCTCAGCGAACTAAGGGCTTGACATTGTAATACTCGGCTGACTTTGTTAGTATTACGAAGGTTAACTTTGTCTCTCGATATTTGAAAGTTTGTTTCGTTTGCGAAAGCTCATATCGGCGTGACGCGCTGTGTTACGTCAGCCAGGCGGTAGTGTCGGAGGAGTACCGTAGGAGTTCCTTTCTCGCCCTTCGAGGTGAAATCTGGCTGATACGACAGCCAGGCGGTAGTGTCGGAGGAGTACCGTAGGAGTTCCTTTCTCGCCCTTCGAGGTGAAATCTGGCTGATACGAGATCTAAACGTGAGAACCCGAAGTATGGTTTAAAATGGATTAGTCGTATAAATGTTATATTGAAAAAAGAAATTTGAAATTGAAGCAAAATTCACCTGCCATGTGCAAATGTTTTTTATTCAGCCAATTTTTTTATATTTATTTGTTCGACCAAAGTTAGTAAAGCACCACGATATTCAGTAAATTGTTTTGTTTTTTATTTCGCGCAAAGCTACACGAGGACTATGTGCGAGAGCCGTCCCTCATTTAGCAGTGTAATACCAGAGGGAAGGCAGCTAGTCATCACTACCCACTGCCAACTCTTGGGCTACTCTTTTACCAACGAATAGTGGGATTGACCGTCACATTATAACGCTCCCACGGCTGACAGGGCGACCATGTTTGGCGGGAAGGATATTCGAACCCGCGACCCTCAGATTGCGAGTCGAGTATTCTAACCACCTGGCCATGCTGGGCCCCCAATATTCAGTAAAACTTAAGCAACTTGTTGCTCTTTATTTCTTTAGTAAGAAACTTATTACATAACAATTTGCCTCCTGTTGTATCACCTAACGTTCCTCTTCCACAATTCTGCAAAATTTGCCATCGCACGTTCGTTAATGAACGAACAATAACAAAATGGCTTTTGGAGATTAAATGTTTTCACTTTACTGTTTGGTATACAATATTCGCATGTTGCAGTTTTGTCCTATTATTTAGTAATATATTATTTACATTCCGTTAGGATTACTTTGTTAGAAATAATGTTCACTTTGTATCGTAATTCTTCGCGCTGTTAAATGTGCATTGTCATATTCTGCCACAGTTTTCTTCTTCTGTTCAGTATACATTGTTTATACACGCTGTTATAACATTTTTCTGCTGTTTATCGTACTTTGTTCATTTACTGTTATTTTCTTCTGCTGTTTATCAATCATTATTGTAATTGCAATCTATATTTTATATATATTGTCGTACTCGTAACTTGCCGTCTTGTTCATATTCTGTTAGTTATTCAGTGTAACCATTCACATATGCTCTAGTCTTGTCTTGGTGAATCGATAAGTAGACACCATCAGAATATGCTCTAGTCTTGTCTTGGTGAACTGATTAGTAGACACCATCAGAATATGCTCTAGTCTTGTTTTGGTGAACTGATTAGTAGACACCATCAGTATATGCACTAGTCTTGTCTTGGTGAACTGATTAGTAGACACCACCAGAATATGCTCTAGTCTTGTTCTTGGTGAACTGATTAGTAGACACCATCAGTATATGCACTAGTTTTGTCTTGGTGAACTGATTAGTAGACACCATCAGTATATGATCTAGTCTTGTTTTTGGTGAACTGGTTAGAAGACACCATCAGTATATGCACTAGTTTTGTCTTGGTGAACTGATTAGTAGACACCATCAGTATATGATCTAGTCTTGTTTTTGGTGAACTGGTTAGTAGACACCATCAGTATATGCACTAGTTTTGTCTTGGTGAGCTGATTAGTAGACACCATCAGTATATGCACTAGTCTTGTCTTGGTGAACTGATTAGTAGACACCATCAGAATATGCTCTAGTCTTGTTCTTGGTGAACTGATTAGTAGACACCATCAGTATATGCACTAGTTTTGTCTTGGTGAACTGATTAGTAGACACCATCAGTATATGATCTAGTCTTGTTTTTGGTGAACTGGTTAGAAGACACCATCAGTATAAGCACTAGTTTTGTCTTGGTGAACTGGTTAGTAGACACCATCAGTATATGCACTAGTTTTGTCTTGGTGAGCTGATTAGTAGACACCATCAGTACATGCACTAGTTTTGTCCTGATAGTCTGTATATACACTAGTAGTCTATTAGTATAGAAATCTTCTGCCTATAAACCAGGTTTATTTGTTGGTGTGGTTACTACCAATTTTTTGTGCGAATACAATTTTTCCAAAACATAATATCAACAGTACGTTATAAAATTTTGGGTTAAAGCAATTTCAGAGCACTGGAATAACCAGAGCAGGTGTAGCAAAAGCATGTGCTGGCTGTTGCCATTTGAAAATTATCTTTGTAAACTGATAAATATTTATCTTAACTCATTATAATTTTCGATTTTGCTGCAACGAAACGTTTTACAACTTGTTAAAATTGCAGTAACTATGTTCTAGAATTATGTGTCCGTACCAAACATTGGACAGAGAAACACAATAAAAAAGACTTGTATCTGTTTTCATTGATCTCCACAAAATAAACAGGTATGCGGCATCCGTCCTTTATACGACGTTACTGTCCTATATGTCTTATTCAGGATTCATCCGAATTTGTCAAATTGTGTTTGTTGTCTTATTTCAGGGTTCATCCAATTTGGTCAAATTGTGTTTGTTGTTTTCACGAGATTTTTTGTCTCAGGAATTACCCAAATTTGCCAAGTTGTTTTTGTTGCCTCAGAGGTGTAGGAGGCAAATTAAAAGGGAATTCAAATAAGGAGAATAAAACGAAGGAAAGTGCGCCATAGGTGCACCCATTACGATCCGGGTCCAGGGCTCGACTTAGGGCCCTGGAAGCTATTGGGTTCTGGATTAAATTTGATGAAGTCTCCTGATTTTCCTGTGAGTAATTTTCATAATTTTGATGTATTTTTACTGGGACAGATTGAAAAGTAGGGGGCGTCACCATCGCTTCTACGCCACTATATCTTGTTTTTACAATATTTTTTTATTAACTTTTGGGTTACTATGGGAAAATATCACTACATTGGGACAATTACAACAAAATCATCGACGGTTTAATTTCTCTCCTCAGTTAATGTTGCCATATTTACAACGAAACTACTTGATATTTGTCTCATTCGAGAAACAAAAAGTGTGTTAGCAAAGTTGTTTCAGTTTTGCTTTTAAATAATGTTTCATTCATGGAACAAAAATGAATAACCCCAAACAATGAAGGACGTTCTAAAAGAAAGGTTTTAATGAACATAGTATACCAAATATACATCATCAGCAAGACTTAGTAGTAAACATCATACTCATATAGAACAATGATGTGGTGCTATCGTGGAAAGCCTTTAACACCATGTATCGACCACTTATTATATATTTGAAGAAACGTCACACATCTGGACTCGTATCTTTACATATATATCGAACTTTACAGTGGTGAATAACGTGAATTGTTGTTTATGCCATTAGATTAGAGAACAAACACTTTTGGTTTGGGTATTTACAGTGTTGCTTGGATTTATAAAACAATGACACTTTTTCCTAGAACACATACCAAGTTACTTTCTCTTGTCCGACCACATTGAACTACTATTTTAGGATAAAGAGACTATATTAGAAATACAGAATTATTCTTTAGAATATAACTTGCTAATTATTTTCAAGATCAAAGGAACATTTGTTTTTAAGTTAAAGAATCGCCTTTGTATATTTATAACAAATACATTTAAAATCGAGCATCTGTAACTTCATCTACTCCGTTGGTGTGAAATATAAATATCTTACTCTGGACAAACGTTGTTATAAATAAACATAACAACTATTAAGGTTAGGACGATACTTGTGCAAGTTTTCACTCAGATGTATGACAGAAATAAAGACAATGTTTAATAATACACAGTGAATTTAAAAGTCTCCAAATACAATAAAAAATCGTTTTACTTAATAATCTTATCTTTATACGGTAAAATTATTGAGTACAACAATTTTTATTGTATTTTGAGACTGGGGACGGTCTCACTGTAAATTTATTGTGCACTATTAAACGTTGACTTTATTTCTGTAATACATCTGTGTGATAACCGCTATTGTCTCCTTAACTTTACCATTTTTGAGCATATCACTTAAAGCTACTTTGAACTTCGAATAAAATATTATTTTAAAAATACTGTCACAAGATGTATTTACAAAAAAATAAAAATAAAACTGACTAGAATTTTTAATAGTTTCAAGGACGAACTGCAAAAAAATGTATTAGGCATAAAATAAACTTTCGTCTATAAAAAAATACCTGATTCGGAAATGATAAAAGGGAAAATCGCAAGATTGATTCAAATGGTGTACAATAGACAAACAGTTTATTTAAATACTTCTTTTTACCTTAGTATTAAAATTTTTGGGTTACAGTTATTATTTGAGGCCAAGTTTGGTAGGTCTTGAAAATTAAAGTTACTTGAGTGAAACTTTTTATTTTGCTAATCTTAAAGCTGAGATTTTTCAAACATCTAATTCTATAAAAATAAGTAATTTACAGCAAATAATACTCTGAAAATTAGTCTCTACATTCTTAACTCTGATTTAGAATTCGTGATTTTAACAATGGTTGAGACAGATAAATATCTTAAGGGCTACGAAATCGCGTGATTGAGGTTATGAATCTTATTTTAGAAATTACTTCAAATTAAGTAAGTATAATATGATACAGAACAAAAGTCAAACGGGTTGAAATTATTTAGTTTATGACTAGTTAGTGGCTAGATATATAATGCACATTAGTAGTGATTGCGGAAAGATGTTGACTGCCATTAAAGTTCTGCGTGCATCACCTGGTGGAATAGTTAGAGAAGTTTAATGATGTTTATAATTACTTGACATTGAGTTTGAAACCAACTGCTAGGAGCTGAATAAAATTAAAAATTAATATACATAGGTTAGTTATATAATTTCGACTTTTGCCAAAATCACGTTTCACTAAACACAGCAATGAATTTGTTTACAACTGAAAAACCAGGAAATACAAAATACTTTTTAATTAATGTAATATATTCATAATGTTCCGTAAAGTAAAAGGCTTTCCATGAGATAAAGCCTGTATAGTAAAAGCAATATTGTATTATTTGGCAACTTATATTTTACCTGGTTTACTATAGTTATTATTGTATAGTTTTACTTTCTACTTCTTTCCCATATTAAATCAGAGACAATTCTAAAGTTGTTTGTTAAAATAAGAAAACAGGTAAACGAAATTAAGAAATGAGTTGTTTAACTTTTGAACATTTTCAATTTCTTCAACAAATATTCACAGAATTATAAAAATCACCTAATAATAAATAAATACAAGAACTTACAAACAGCAGTAAAAAGAAAGTAATTATCAAAATATATCTGTTTAAATGAGGATTTGTTTAATATCATCACTGCACATGCGCCAGGGTAACAACATCAAAGATACTTAGAAAAAAAAAGGTTATTAACCAAACAACTTCAGCCAGAAAAAATCGTATCTCACTGACTTAGAATAACACTTTTACATCATATTGTTTTTAAAGGTTTTTATCAATTACAAATACATAGTCTAATATCGTCTTTTCCAAAATAAACTTTGTATTTCATTGTTGCCATGGGAAACATGAATGGCTGTAACTTAGAACAATGGAGCTTGACTCTATATTTTTGAACTTCAAGTTACTTAATTCTACTGTTTAAAGAATAAGCCATTTTGTTATAAGTTATAACGTTTATGTATCTCACAGTAAGGTCACGGACATTGAAATACACAGTTTGTGAAGGTTCTGACTGATACGATAGTTTTGTAATACGTCATTTAATGAGAAAATTAAATGCTCTCTGCTTTACATAAATCACAGTGAGGACAGCGGAATGGGTATGGTTAACTGAAGTCACGTAACTTAGACTCCTGGCCTGTCAACTGTAGCATACTGACATGGAGACAAGGTAGGTGTTTGACGTGGTGACATGGGTGTGTAGGTGCTAAACCCTGTGACAGTATGCTGTTTAGCTTTAAGCCGGAGGGATGCTATACTAGAAGACATGGAGGGGCACTGATCACGATAAACGTAAGGGGGCGTAGCAGCAGCGTATGGGCAAGGGGCCATTGGGTTATTGAGGCTGTTAACTGGCATGTTGACGTTGGGCATGATATTGGACGATGTGATTCCTGTAGGGGCTGTGTTAAAACATCCCATGCCCTGGTTAGGGACCACAGAGGTGAGTGGATTGACATTTACCGAATTGAGCCCTGGCCAAGGAAAGCTCTTTGCACCTAGAGAGCTCGGGACCTTTGATGCCCAATTGTTGTACGAGGAATACCCAGAGTACAAACCGTCATCAAAAGGTTGCATTAGCCCGTTAAACTGGGTGCCGAATCCATTCTTCAATTCAGCTCCTGCGTTCCGTTCACGCTTTCGCCATTTCGCTCTACGGTTTTTGAACCAGACCTATCAGAAATGAGGAAAGAAAACTGTTAGCTTTAACTCACAAAAATCAGAAGAAATATAAGTGCATCAATGATGAAACGGAAAGTTAGTATAACGAAATGATTTAAAGAATGGACATCTATTCTATGAGGTTTTGAGTCCGTTTTACTTCACCATGTAGTAACCTAAATTAGTTCAGGATGTTATATGGTGAAGTAAAACGGACTCAAAACCCCATAGATATTATATACATATCACTATTATAAGAGGCATAATGGTGTTTCTTTAGTTTGCTGACCCAAGCTGTGCTGATGAGCCTTGAATAGGCGAAACTGCAGTCCACAGCAGAGGGTATGGCCAATCAAAGAATGCAATAGGCTTCTACGTCATAGATTCTCTTTTCAATTTCACACCTGAGAAAAGAGATCTTTAACATATATATATATATATATATATATATATATATATATATATATATATATATACTATAACTAACAACACTACTACTATAACTAATAAATAATTATTAATTATAGTATATATATACTACTTAGTATAGAAGTAAGTAACGTAAT